CGACGTAACGACAGCGCAGTGGCTCATCGGGTGTCGAGAACGAATACCACAAATCCTTTCGAATGTGCCTTTAGCGCGTCTCCCCGGTATCTCGCTCTCATGAATACTGCAAATACCGCCCGGTATTCGTGGATTGGAGTAGCTCTTTCGTGGCCTGAGAGGTGGGGTAGAGTAATGTGTGGGCATTGTCGAACAGTGGAGGAGAAAGGGACAGTTTCGACCGCGTATTCCGTGCCCGCCGGCAGTCGTGTGTCGTATCGTTTGTAAGTTGACAGCCACCATTGCGGTTTGACGATCGGCCATCCGTCAATCCGACTCCAGCGACGCTTCGGAGACGAGAGGCCTTGGAGGTAGCGAAGAAAAAGTGCGTTTGACGTCGCATTACTTATCGAACTGGTCCAACCTAAACCTTTTATTCCGCGATGGACGAATTTCCAAATTCTACCGCGAGCGCCAAGCGGAATCCGCCACGCGTTCCAGCACCGCTTCCATCCTCTTCGTCTCTGCTCCCGTCGCGGCGTATCGTCTCAACGCGCACGATCGCGAGTTCTCGCGCGACCAAGATCGCGGCAGACGATTACGCGATCGTCGGACACCGTCGCGAGTAGACGGAAGATGGAGGCGAGCGTAAAACGGGCGTAAAACGGCGGGATCGCTGGACGGCGCGGCGATCGCTGACAGAGTTTGGCATTGCGTCTTCGGGAACCCCAGCGTGAGATCGCTTATACATGCAGTCAATGAATGCCCGCCGGCCGCCGCTGCTGATGGCCACGCTTTGTTTTGACGGACGGCTGAATAATCTACCTCTGAACTTCGTCTGATGGCTGTCTGTCGGCCGATCCGTCCAACGATCCGTCGAACTCGCTACCGAAGCTCCTTCTACGGAAGCTCGGCTCCACGGTGTCCCGCTGCTTCGCGTTCTCCTCGCTCACGGTAGAAGCGACGAACGCGATCGCCGCTGTCGCGTTGCGTACATTACACTCGTCGTCCGTAGGCCGGCGTCACCGTGGACGAGCAGCAATTTGCTAACCGGTCCGCGTGTCTCGATCATACCCCTCTTCGCTGGCATCCTCTATACGAAAACCGTCCTTCCGCTATCTTCGACCAGACGGTCGAAACGGTACATCGGTACCGGATATATATATATATATATACATGTATAGTAGCCTCGAGCTCGGCGAACCGGTCGATTTCGACGTGGTCGAGGAAAACGATAAACGGGGGAGAAGAGAGAGAGAGAGAGGGAGAAAGTGGATGGGAAAATGGAAGGAGAGGACTGGTTGGTTGCAGGTTACAGGGAGACCGCGTTCGCGTTCGCGATTTCCGCAGCCGGGGTGGCGCACAGCGTGGCCCGCGCGTGCAGCATGGGACGATTGCTCTCCTGCGGATGCGACCCGTCGAGCTACAAGGGTAAGCCGCCTGCCAAGGCCAGGGGCACCCAATGGAAGTGGGGCGGCTGCTCTCACAACCTCGACTACGGCATGGAGTTCTCGAGACAGTTCCTAGATACGCGCGAGAGGGCCGGGGATATACAGTCGACGGTCAATCTCCACAACAATCAAGCTGGCCGCTTGGTAAGCCGTTTGATTAATCTTCCCTTTCATTCTCCCTCTATGTCCCCCGTCCTTGGTCTTCCTTCTCCCGAGTCTTGCTCTCTCGCGATAAATATTTCATTCCGTGACAATATACTTCTTCTCCCGGTATTTTTGTTCGTTCCGTCAGGTTCCGCTGATTCCTCGCGTTTTAACGGTGATTCTTGCATGCCGGTGCTAGAGCAACGCGAAAAGAAAGAAAAGAAGGGGGCACAGGGAGAGCGGGAGAGAAAAAGAAAGCGACGAATAGGGGTGGTGGAGAGGAGGAGTAGGAGAGTACAGCCGAGTCCGTTCCTCTCCACCATGCGCCTCTCCACGCTCGGTCTCGCCTCGACGTTATTAAGACGAAGCCCGGGGCTGGACCACCCAGTCGTAGACTCATTAACTGTTTTGTACGCGACACCTCTTTGTTTAAAAGAAATTGCCCCCTTTCTCTTCAGCCGCTGTTCATGCGACTCTTGACCACTCGGCGCACTCGCTGCGCCGAACCGCGGTTCGTAACCGTTCGTCGACAGCCACCCTGTACTTTCCCCCCCCCCCTCCTTCCACGTCTTTCTTCTTACCCCCCGCTTCCATCGCGCCATTGCTTGTCCGTTTAATTCGCCAAACCTTGGCCTCCTCTTCGGCCACCCTCTTCCCCTCGTCGCGATCACACCACCACCACCACCACCATCACCACCATAGATCGGTTCGCCGTTTCAGGCGGTGGCCAGCAACATGCAAGTGCGCTGCAAATGCCACGGTATGTCTGGTTCCTGCGAGCTCAAGACCTGTTGGAAAGTCGCGCCAGACTTCCGGATAGTCGGGAAAACGCTGAAGGATCGCTTCCGGAACGCAGTGCTGGTCGCGCAGAGCAACCTGGGCAGCGTGACCCCTTTGACCAGAGTGAGAGGATCGCGAAGGAGGAGGCCGGACCGTCAGAGGCAGAGGAAGCATCGCGGAGGATCAGGGGGCGGCGGCGGGGGCGGGGGAGGAAACGGCGGCGGTCGGAAGAGGAGGCCGCGAGATCTCGCGAAACAGCTATTTTACTACCAAAAGTCGCCGAATTTCTGCGAGAGGGATCAAACCGCGGACATCCCGGGCACCGCCGGTCGGAGATGCAACAAGACCAGTTCCGGCGGAGACGGATGCGGCAGCCTGTGCTGCGGCAGAGGCTACAACGTCGTCAGACAGCGGCGCGTGGAGAGGTGCAGGTGTAAGTTTCATTGGTGTTGCTACGTGCAATGTCAGAACTGTACCGTGGAAGAGTGGATCACGGTTTGCAAGTGAAGCAACCACGCGGGGTCGTTTGTTCGACGGACGATGCAGCGATAGATCCGCTCGAATCTCGTCGTTGAGAGTTGGCTGATTTTAAGGGTACGACGGACGACGGACGGGTTTTAACGGCGCGAGGCGTGATTTAAATTGGAAAACGGACACGACGCGAAAATCAGCCGTGACAGACAGAGTCGACGTCGACTCGTCTCCGTACTTTTTATTCACGCTCGGTACACTTGCGAGGCTCGTCGCTCCGACGCCGGTAATTACGCCGCGGAGCGTTCGTGCCGCAAAACACAACAACGGATATAATTGTTCTTAATCGCGCGAGTAACGTAATTTAATTGGTAGATTAAGCGGGCCAATAATTTATTTATAACGTTGCATCTATTTAATTAGTAGATAATTTGAATATCCACAGCAACTGTAACACCTCCGCCACAGTATTATTAGAAGAAGCAATGTGCGTGTGTAAGATTCGGAATGGGTGCGATTGTATACAATTTAATAATGCGCGTACAATAAAGAGTTCCTTTGACCGACGATTGGCCTATTTCTTCCCCTCTTATGGTCGCGGCTCGATCGCGACGGAATCGCGGCCGACGATAGGCGGCCGATTACAAACGGTTCCCTTACACAGAAATCGCTCGAAAGCGTAACTCTTTCGGACAGATTTACAGATGACCGAAGCCTTTCCGATACTTTTATTCCTTGCACCGATAGATTCGTTCGACCTTCTTTTCCATCGATCGAACGATAAATTGTCCCATGTTAAAACCTTGGAAAAATCTGTGCCAATCCCACTTACATGCCACGCGAAAATACCATTTCAACGGTATTGCGAAACATCGCCAGCGTATGACTCGATATCGTTTAGCTCGCGTTTCAGCTTTCGTTTTCGATCCGCCTCCAATCTCCCTAGCCTCTCTCGTTCTCCGCCGCGAGTAATCGCAGCCAGAGTCTTCTCCGTTCGATACCGATTCCGATTATTCCCCGCAACCGCCGGTATCGAGCTTCGCAAGCTCAACCGTTCGAGTAAACTCGCTGAAAGCCCCAGGAATTCACCGATGGCAAATTAGGTTCTCCAGACTATGCTCGGTGACTAGGATTCCGATTAGATTAGCGACCGAAATCGGACGAGGACTTTCCTAATCGTATTTTCCACCGGTCGCTGCTCGCCGCGACTTCGATAGTGGATAATCCAAAGCGTTACCATTCAATTTTCAAACCATCTCCCGTACACGGCTTCGAGATCTCTCTTCGATGCTTTCGAGCTGCAATGTAAACGAAAGTACGCGGAATACGATTTCTGTGCAATTCCGCTTTTCCACGAATATTTTATCCACGTTTTGGCGGGAAATCGACGAGGATACACGGAGAGTACGAAGGAGAGAGATGATCCGACGTTGGGGATCGCGACGAAACGCGCGGGTCCCTGCAAGAAGACGCGCGACGTCGCGTCGCGTCGCGGCACGACGCGTATTCGCATTAACCGCGGCTCCCTTTGACAACTATGCGAGTCAGGACGACCCTGAAGAAGCCGGGATAAAGCGCATTAATTTATCGCGCGACCCTCGCTAGATCTTTTTCAAGCCGCATCGATCCAGCCAACGAGATTAGAAGCGGGAAAACGTCGCGAGACTTTTTTTTACCGATAGATACCTCTATGCCGAGCGACAATTATTCCCGCGTGCCCTTGCACTTCGCGATTCGCTACACGTTCCGCTCGCTCGCCGATAATCCACGAGGCTGGAACATTCTCCGATCCGATCGAAACGCGAAAGCTCTCGATGAACGGATCTCTCGAGGAAGAGTGCCGCGATGCGGAAGAACGGGGAAATTTATCGAAAAATTCGTGCTCGAGGGATAATAGGGACAAAGCAGGAACGCGTCCTCGAAAGGAATAAGTGGCGAGGAGGAAGAAGAGAAGACTCATCTACATACGTCGAGAGAAGGAGAAAGAGTCGGGGCTGGACGACGATCTCGGGAACGAAATCAATGAGCTAACAGGCTTGCGAGTTAGCAGTTAGTTAATTAAGTCGGCGTTATTGGATCATGGAAGCCAAGCACCCCTCCCCAGCAGCACCCCCTCGACGCAATCGTGACTGCCGCCCTGCACGAGCGTCGTAGAGCTCGGCTCTTACTCCGGCACACGAGCATTGCGAGCATTGCGAGGGTGGACGCCGCAGGGCCTGCACAACCTGCCAGACGTTTTAATTAGAGGTGAGTTTCATCGCGAGCCACGCTAAGAGCACCCCCCGTTACTTGTCCCTTACGAGTAAGTGTTTTGCACCTTCCGTGAAAACCCTTCGTTTCGTCCGTCGCTGGATCTTGCAAAGTCCTCGGTAGCGCGTCGGCTCTCGGCAAACCGATGACGAGAATGACCAACGAACCTACCAAGGAACTCGTCCTCCGATCCGAGTACCCCGCGTGAACAGTGGAACGGATAGATCCTTCGATCGTACCTATCGTTTCCGCGATCTCGCGTCGCTCTCACCGGTCTTCTGATCCGCGACTCGACGCGAATCCCATTCGACGGAAACCGATCGACCAGCACACCAGTGGAATTCCACGATATTTATCCCGATCGTGGCCTCGAACCCTGTCTCTCTCTCTCTCTCTCTCTCTCTCTCGAGAGAGAGAGAGGAGCCGCGGTATCGCGACCGACTCCTTTGGGATGCCAGAAGATCGCGAGCTTCCCTCGCCGGGACACCCTTTATCGTTTTCGGATCGCGCGAATAATGCCGTAATTAACGAGTCTCGCTGCACGCCGGCCGAGCAGAGGGGAAAAGAGGATGTTCGCGAAGAGTGTCGGCGAGGGAAAGGAAAAGAAGAGAAGGAAGAGGAGGAGGAGGAAGAGGAGGAGGAGGAGGAGGAGATGGAGGAAGAACGGAAAAAGGGAACGAGGTGTATATGCGAGGTGCTTTACGTTCCACGGTGCGCGACTCGAAGGTGCCGGAACATGTGTTTCAGGATGTTTTGCCAAGACGCCGGGAAAAAGAGAGAAACGCGTAAATACGGAGAGAAAGGCAGAGGACAGGAGAAGGCAGGCGAGTCGCGAGCCCTCGGAGGGGA